TGGCTCGTTTTGCCCGTCTCTAAGATATCTCGTCGAACACAGCACGCCTGGCTTGGGGTAGAGGTACGGTACCGACAGCTCCATCTCTCCAGCCACGCTCCCTGCCACCATTGGAGGGAGAGATGAAGACAGCGTGAAATCGATGCCATCCGGCTCCGGTGCCCTGCGGGCACCCGATGCTAGAGGCATCCTGTTTCGATGCTTAGCCGACTGCTGTTACCGCTGCTCCTGCTTTGGTCGTGTTGTCTCAATGCAGCACGGCAGTGCTATGTTGCTGCTGTGGTTCCGAGGTAACCCTTGGCCGAGTCGAGGTTGGCTTGCTGAATAATCTTTGCATTGCCATTAGATAGCCCTTCGCTAACAGCTAGCTCCCCGCTGTGGCAATTCCTCGTGTACACGCCAAACGACGAGTGTGAAACATCAAGCGCGCGGGAGGAGGACATTCAACACATTTTCAATTCGATTCAAAAACTAAAACTTTCAAACGCCATGGTTCAGGACACAGAGGGGACAAGCGAAACCGTTTTATCTTGATATTACTATGAAGCATCCAGTCATCCCCGGTACGGATGTTGCATCATACGAACTCCTCTAGCTCAGTTCTCTCTCTCTTTGCCGCACAATGCTTGCTGTCTGTTGCACGCTGCACCAGCGGCAACGCAGCAGACGTATTCCATAACACCGACACAGCGGGCTAGTGACAAGGTCCCGGGATTCTGTCTCTCTCTCTTTCTCTGTCTCTCTCTCTCTCTCCTTCTCTCTCTCCTGTGTTAGCCATGGCTCCTCCTGGTGAGTGATCCTTTTGCCCTTGCCCGCTGCAGCTTTGTTTGGATGTTGGATATTCACGGAGATACGAGAGATGGTTCAACCACGCTGCTGCTGTTGCTGTACGTAGAAATGTCTGTCAATACACCACTGCATCCCTGTATTACGATAACTTGCTCGTTCTTACGTCCTGCGGTCGATGACACGATAACAAAACTCGATCGCGCCCCCCTACGTTATTTGCACGTCGAACACCTCCTCCATGCTCTGCTGTTTCTTGCATGACTCCCCTCTCTGCTGGAAACTGGAAACATTTGTTGTGCGGTCGTCCCCCGACATTGCCGCGTTTGTTGTCGGGCAGGAGCGAAGCTGGTGCTCGTGGCGTCCACGGAGGACTACAATGTCCCTGAAATAATTCAGTTATCAAGGTGATCGTACCCTATCCTGAAGAACACGCGTTAATTTTTTTTTAACATTTCGGCAAGGAGAGCCAGCGCGACAAATTCAAATCCACGTGAAAGCACTATTTGCTGTAACAGTCATGGGTGTTTTCCTCCTCCCTTCTTGCGAGGGCTACTTTTATCGGCTGCCTTTTGCGGCACGCAACACCTCACCCTTATTTTGTGGCGTTCTCTCTCTGTTGGTGTTGCTTCGGTGTGTACGAAGAGAGTCGACGGTACTCGGGCGGAGTTCAAGAACTTGTGACGTCACTCTGGACGCTGCTCCCACCAAGACCATTTCACGGAAACACGCCGAGATTTTTTGCGGGAACGGAAGGCGGGGGCCGAAGACGTACACCCTTCGAGACCTGGTGAGGAAGGGAGCGACAGAGCTGCTGTGACTGTCGCCGTGGTGTTTTGATGCACGTGATTGGTCTTCTTTTCGACGATGCTCACTCGTTGTTCTTCATCTACGTGAACGCCAGTGACCCACACGTGACGATTGCGGTGGAAAGCACGTAGCGGCTGTACAGCAGTATGCCATGCTTACCGATCATGCGCCTCCTTAGTTAAGCGTCGATTGGCTGTGGAAAGCACTTGGCGGCAGTATGCCTTGCTTGCCAACGATCCCCTTCCTCAGGTGACATTTGATTTTATTGCGTTTTCACCTTCTCTTCTCTTGCTTGGTTGGGGTTTGCTCGTGCGAGAGCAGGGGTCTACCAACGGGGTGTTTGTCAATGAATTTAAGGTTCAAGAGCAGCGTCTCAGGCACGGAGATGTGGTGCAGTTCGGAGGCGCGGCCGACATTCCGGTAGGAACCCGCTTTGGCGGCACCGGCAGCCGCATCAGGTGCAGTGCGCGTACATTTCGTCCTGGATACCCCGCAGCAGAGCTTACGCAAACTGCCGTATCAGAACCTCCACGTGTGTTGGGTTCTGTAACTGTTTCCCACCTAGGGCCGTGACGGCAGCCAAAAACGTGCCTCCCGCACATTTTCGTTCTTGTCCAGCTTGTTTCTCTCTGTGACGGGCCATCTACATCTATACCTGGAGCAGGTCCTGGATGATCACGCCACGTCGTCCAACAGTCCCCGCGCCATCTACCCCCCCCCCCCCCCCCCCCCCCCCCCCCCCCCCCCCCCCCCCCCCCCCCCCNTGAGCACGAACTTGCAGGCTCCCCCACCCCGAATTCCAAGAGACGGCGTGGGCCAAACCCCGACGCGCCTGCGACAAATCGACCAAAGATCGTGCGCGCAGATACGCTAGATGCGGCGGATACTCTCCGTGCCATCGGCAACGGCTCTTCGGTGACGAGACGAATTGGTCCCGATAAGGCACGGGCCGGAGGCGGGGGCGACGCTGCTGGGGGGGGTAGCGTGCAAGGGACTGGCGGTGCCGGTGGGGTGGTGGACAGTGGTGGGGGCGAAACGCCGAGTATGGTGATGGAGGTGCTCCGCGACGCCATGTGCGGGCTGTGCTCTGAGCTCCTGCTGGATGCCGCCGTGTTGCCGTGCTCTCACAGCTTCTGCAGGCTGTGCTGGGCTGGACACGTTGAGGAGAAGGGCACAACGTGAGAGTTAGAGAGAGAGAGAGAGAGAGAGAGAGAGAGAGAGAGAGAGAGAGATTCTTTGGTTGTGATTTCTACACGGTAGAAGCGTGCCCTGTCTATCCAACGTTTAATGGAAGTTTCGACGTAAGGCAGATTTTGCTGTCCACCCAAGTGGTCGCCGGCGGCGTTCGTGGGTACCCTAGCGTGCACTGCTATCATATTAAAACATGTTGTCCGGGTCTTGCCCCCCTTGTTAGCGTGCAACATTCAGAAGACCAGGTCGCCTATCGTTTTCATCCGTTTGGACAATCGAGGTCGACTTGCGGGTTTCCCCTCTTGAATGGACAAGAAGCACGCGAGATTCCACATGCGTGTGTCTCGGCAGTCGCCCTCGATGTTCATGTCCAAAAGTGGTTCCTTGTTGCTCTTTGCTTGGCTCGTTCCCTATCAACCCATCCTGCCTCCAACCCCCCTGGGCAACGCACGCCTAATGCGCCAGTTGCCCTGTGTGCCTGAGGAAAATGCATTCCTCGGAGCGTACCCCCCGGCGCTGCTCTAACCTGGATCTGCTCATCACATCCATCATCCATAAGGTATGATGCGATGCTTGTCTATCTTTCCCTGCCCAATCGTTGTCGGACCCGCGGGATCCATGTAGGCGCCACCAGACGTCGTATACCATGGCCATGGCGTAGATTGTCTTTTCTCATTTTCCTGGCACGGGTTGCAGCCGACCATCGGACGTAACTTAGCCAGCCAAATAATTTGAAGTCGAGGAGTTAGCATGACTTTAGTATCGACTTCTGCTGGGTTAACACGACATGTGTCATGCTTCCCAAATGCAGCAGTTGTCTCTTCATATGCGTAGGACCCCATACGTTAGGCGTACATGGCACGTGAAATCGCGCGACACAGATGGAAGACTCATTTTGTCTCATCGTACTCTGAGTAGTGCGGGGTGCCCGGCATAAGGCCGGTCGAGTCCCTCGGCAATGTATGGCCATGTAAGGGGAGCACTACTTCTGTGCCACATCTATCATCTATCGTAGAGTCCGCCGTTGCTCACGGCCTCCCTCAGGCTAGGAAGTTCTTGTTCCATACGCCGTCCCCCTTTGTTGCATTCCCCACCTGGTCTCCCTCTCCACCATGGTGCTGTCACACATTACTGCAATATATTTGTTTGCGCGCGACACGTGGTATCTAGCTGGCAGGCCCACAGGAGCGAGCACGATGGACGGCACGGCAAGAGGAGGCATTAAAGCGGGCCACGGCGGCGGCGAGAAAGGCACGCCAACAAGGGAGCAACAACGGGCCAGCTGCTGCAGGAACGCGGAAAGCGGGGCAGGTTCCAAGCTCCGCTGCCGAGTCAAAGCCTAGCCCGGCGCGGGGCGTTCGCTCCACCGGAAGCAAAAGCAACAACAATGGCGTCTTCCCTCCGGAGGGAACCTCCCGCGGCGATGGCAACCTAGGAGGGACCGGCATAAAGAGATTGGCACCGTCGGGGACAGCTGATGGCAATGGAAACAGCACGGTTGCGGCGCCGGAGAGATGTGAAGGGTGCGATGAGGAAGGGCACGAGTTTCGGGAGTGTCCTCACCGTTCGGATAGCGCTTTGGACGAGTCGGAAGAGGAAGAGGACGAGGAGGACGAGGAGGAGGAGGAGGACGAAGACGAAGAGGACGAAAGTTCGGACGACGGGTGATTTCATGTGACGTGCTTTAGACGATTTTTGCCCTGCGTGCTCGCTCTTGCATGACCCACGGGTAGCATGGCAGCGTGTCGTTTACCGAATATTTGGTATCGGAGCTAGATACAGTGTGCACCGGAAAGACGCCACGGGTTTTAGTCGTTTCTTTCATGTGCTAAGGCCGGGCATATTGGGCTCGTAAGGTTTGCCTGTGATACGAGCCACCATAATAACTGCTCATGCTGGAATTTTTGGCCCTGTGTCCTGGGTCGGGGTTGCCAGATATCACACTGATGCAACAATAAAAACCCACGAGCACTCAAGCTTGAGATTTGTTTGGAATTCTTGGACGTTCGAATCGCGCGACACAGGCGACTCCTGGGCACGCGAGAGAAGAACTGCGTCTTGTCAACCATAGCTCATCGGTCTATCAACGCTGGTTCTTATATTTGACCAAGCGTATGTAGCACTTGCATGTCTGGTCCCGGTTTCGTTGGTGGGACGGGCCACGTGCATGAGAGAATTAGTCTTGGACGTCGTGTTGGAACGCAAAAATATTTCGGACCTGCTCAAAATCCAGTGCCGTTTCCATAACCAGCCTGCTTTCATGTGCAAGTCTGCCTCCACACTAAACCGGTGGTTCCGACACACAAACAAAGGCTCAGCAATACTTGCGAAATAACATCTTTGTGCCTAACTATACCTGCGTCCACTGGCAGCCGTGTCTACCAACAAAGACACGGAGTTTCGCAACGACCCTTCTGTTCCTAATCCCCTCCTCCTTTCTGTTTACAATTCTCGACGCACATCCAATCCCTAGGCTCGCCTTGTATTAATAATAATGTCCCTTCAGTCAGCTCCACTCGCCACAGAACCAACGCGAAGGACTGCACACATGAAGGTTTTAAAAATGTTGCGTTCCGACCCTGCCCACTGCCCTGAGACTCTCGAAATATGACGGCTATCTGTCTTTTACGTCATGCCGGTCGCCTCAGCAGAACCGTAATCGTCTGGATACGCGAAACGAGGGGTTCCGGCCTCACTTTGTGTTTGTTACAACCATCCAGGATGAAAACTTGAACTCGAGGAAGCGTTGCGAGCTCTCTTCAGTCGGCCTGACTGAACGTGCCCCAGTTACCGCCCAGTCCAAAATTCCCAAGGAACATTGGATTTCCACCCGGCTCTCATTTGAAACACAGCGACCCCCCTGATCAAAATGCTTGACGCTAAGTAAACCTGCAGTACGCCCCACTTGACACCATCAACGCCAACACAGTAAAAAAAACAAAATGTCAATACCCACCCCCCTGGTGACAACGCGCGTTTGCAACCAGCACACCCAAGCCACTCATTTGCCTCATCATTGCCAAGGGAGCATTTGTTCCCGAGTCCTTCAAGTACTTGCCATGCCCCGTGCACACGAAAGGAGGGGAGACGTGGAGCGCTACGCCTCTCGTTGATAGAATCCTTGCTCCTCATCTCTCGCTTGCCAAAAATCAGTCCGCACATCCCCGCCCTCGCCCTCGCCCTTGCCCTCGCCCTCCTCGACTCTTTGCGATTCTCCCGAGCTATGCCGCTTCGAGATCCACTGGGGATCGGCGCATGACCGCAGCATGCGCTTCTCCTGATCCGGCCGTGGCTGGAACCCAGCTGCAGTCATCTTGTCCAGGGCGGTCGTCGACGCCTCATTATCGCCCGCCGCGATACACACCTGTTGTGAAGAAACCGAATGTGTTCGGGCAAGGCAGGGTTAGGGTGGTCTCACAAGTACTGGCTGGCCGGATATCTTGTAATTCCTCGTGGGGAATCGCGATCGCATCGTGACTGCATTCAGCGAGCGAGGCATCAGCTTGCCCTCCTCCCACACAAGTGGGGTGACTCCGACCGTTCCCAACAGCAATCTGCTCCAACGTGGCGCCTGTCGATGTTACAAACGTGAGCGCTGGGGAATCGACGGCACACGCAGGTTTTCGCTGGTAACGCCCGTGCGCCGCGAGGACTTGGATCAAACAGGACAACCCGGTTTCAGGCTTTACCTCCAAGGCCATGGCGTACATCTTGGGGACAGCGTCCAAGCCTAGCTCCTCGTTGAGGCGGAGGACTTCAAGCGCGACGTCGCACTGGTCGGTGCACGCGTAGAGCACATCCATCAGGTGCACATGCTCGATCGGCACCTGACAAGTAACACGCGCAACCCGGAGTTAAAACGTCAACTCAGTGCTCAAGAAATGAACCAAGCTTTGCTGTGGTCGTTGGGGGGGGGTTCCGTGGTGCGCTTCCATTCATAGCAACCCATAGACCGAGAGGAAGACCACGGCGCATACAACCTCACGACTGCTGTGTCGCCATTCCTATCCCTGCGACGCGAAAGAATCAAAGGTGGTACACTATTCCGCTCCAAGAGCTGGAAGGCGCATCCTTGGTGTCACCAGTGTCCGCGATCGCCCACAAAATTATATTCTTCGGTGTTTACAAATGATACCTCCGGAGTGCGCTCATGAGAGCACAGCGGTGTCAGAAAAGGGTGATGCGAGAAGGAATAAAAGCAGGCAGGCAGGACCAACTCACAGCTGACTGTCAACTGCGGTCTGACGTTTCCCCATGCTCAACAGGTCACACAGCTGGCGTGTTGTTGACTCGAACAGCCCAGTGAACCTCAACGAAATTCTACAAATCTCTATCTTCAGGTTATACTGCATTTAGGACTGCGACCGGCTGAGTACATACGACGCGCGGCCATCCTAGTCGGCGGCAACGTCACAGAGGCCCAGGCGCTAGGCGTACATTCGTACCAGCATCTCCCGCATTTCGTCCAGCACCCACGCCGCCCTCCTCGCGTCTTTGCAGTCGGTAAAAGCTTCGACGAGAGCCTTGTACGTCATCTGAACCGGCAAGACAAAGGCGTGTTTGCGGTTCGCGTTACGGTACGTCCAGCATCCCGCGCATGAAACAAAGGTACCAGGTATTCCGCGTACGCTAAGGTGGCCGGACAATGACCGATGATATGTAGGCAACGGACCGACGCTGATACAACTGCTACAGCAGTCACGTTGTTACGAGCAAAGGCACCGTCTGGCACTCCCCGCCCTCTGATGAGGATCAAGCAGCACCAACAACAAGTACGTGAGGCGACAGCGCAAGCCAGTGCGTGCGCCGATAGATCGCCCGGGGTACAGCATTGGCCGCTAAGGTGGGAGCTAGCTGAGCTGCACACCTCGGTCGGGACGATGGTCATGCGGAGTTGGGAGGCGTACAGGAACACGGCCTCGTCGCTCTTGCTGCAACGCGCGCACGTGCGGATGGCCGTCGCGTAACTCTGCGAGTTAGCCGGCATCCCCATGTCGATCATCTCCTCCAAGAGATTCATGGCCAGCTCGTAATCTCTGAGATGCACGCTCGCGTGGAGCGCGCCCGCGAAGGAGTACTGCGTGTGTTGGGAGGAGGGATGTGCGCAGGTGATCAGGCAGTGGGAGCGATGGAGGGGTGGGGCGAGGTAAGGCAAGCATCGTCGGTGGACGGGGAACGCCGCCGGTATGTTCGCGCGGAAGACAAAGTGTCAGGGGCCGGTACTACAGGAGCTTCCAATGCACTCCAGACTGGGATATGCACCTGCTACACGTTAATCTCTTCCGATAGAGAACGGCGCGAGACTACTAAAACCGTACCGGGATACGTCATCGACAAACAAACACACCACGAGTCGCCACCGCTAAGCGCGGGCGAGTAGAGAAGGGCCGGAATCCAACGAAAGCGACCTTGCAACCACCGTTCCCGTCCTCCGAGAACAGTGATCCGATAAGATCGCCGGCGATGTATCCTGCCTTTCTCTCCTCGCCCGCGTGTAGCGCTTCCGAATCGGGTCCCCATAGCTCGGGGAGCGTGTCCTCGTCCGACCTAGGGCCGGCGACGGGTGCTTACCCTTGTACAATTACCGCCGCCGCCCGAGGCAAGGCTTCCTTGACGTAAAAAAAAAGGAAGCGGCGGTACTCGTCGCCGGCCCCGAGTACACGCCGCCCCCCGAGGTATCGGGAGCCGAGTGGCCAGCGCTACGCGCGGGCGAGTACACAACGGCAGCTGGTGCCCACGGTACACCGCTCGAGATCTTGGTACATCACTGTCCCCGGCAGACGGGAACGGTGGTTTCAAGATCTCCGGCCGTGTATCGTAGGCAAAAGCTGCCGTTCGGTCCTCGCCCACGCGTAGTGTTGACTACTCGGCTCCCGATAGCTCGGGGGACGGCGTCCTCGTCTGACCCAGGGCCAGCGACGCGACGGATGTTTTTCCTTCTGCAACTACCGACGCCGCCGAAAGTACCCCCGTTTCCTGAACGTGACACAAACGAAGCACGTCACTCGATAGTTTCTAATTGTCCCAGTTTGCAGAAGCGACTTAAGCTGCAACTCCTCGTGTGCGCTTTCAACGAACAAAGCGTCTCCGTGAGACACGGGTACATAAGTACGTCTCCTAACGATCGGCCAACTCGCTTACCGGCAAACCCGAAAACGTTTGCCTTTTCGGCCCACACTTGATGGGTATTTTATTGTCGATCCTTCCTTGAAGCTGCTTCATCGGCAATTGACAAGCCTTGTAGAATAGTCTTTACTACGCATTCGGTTGGAGTCGATTACCTCTTCGCCCAGCGCAGTTTGTCTGGGAAAGGATGGCATGCGCTCCAGAAAACCAAGCCTTTCCTCCCCGCCCAACCAAAAATCAGATAAGAAAAAAAAATGTCACCTGATCTCGCTTGATGCCCCTCTCTTTCATGAGGTAGAACACCGATAGGGCCTCGCTAGGGGCTTGCGCACGGACACAGCCGGAAATGAGGGTATTGTATGTCATGAGCGATGGTGCCACCCCTGCCTCGTTCATCTCCTCGAAAATTCGAGCGGCCTCCTAAGGATTTACGACGGGTACAGGCAACGCGGCGGCACACCACAGCCGTGCGGAACCAAGCATCTTACATCCAAGCACCAGAAACAGCAAGTAAGGTAACATGAACTTGATGAGCATGGCAAGCGAGCGAACCTGTGCAGCAGTACGTCATGACCGGGGTGGGTGGGTGCGACCACACAAGACATAATGGTCGCACTGCATCGCATCGTCAGCTACCACCAACGTGGGATGGCGTCTCAGTTGACCTTAATCTGAGCCAAGGCCATGATCGAGAGAAGGTTAAACCCTGGCTTACAATGCGTTTCTCGGACACGTATGGCCTACCGGTCCACCATTGTGCGGTCCGCTACTGCGGTTCTTGTACGTCGCTCATGTTTCATTTCTGTAAGAACCCTGTGGTGACGGGAATCGTTTCTTAACAGTTTACGTTGGCGGAAATAACTGGGTCGCGCAGTAGCTTGTTGATTCATGCCAAACCAACAACGAGCACCCAGCATTGATGAAAGATACAACCCCCCAAGGAACAGGAGGCATTTCGATCGCCTTCGCGAGAAATTAAGTTCACGGGGAAATACAACAGGGTGGGGGTATGCAGACCCTACCCCTAACCCAACTTCCCCGGTTGCATGCTTTATCCGACGTGTTTTCTTCAAAGAAAAATCCTGCAAGGGCTACTGGGGCATTTTCGCGTAGCGTTTCAATCCACCGACCTGCCATTGGGAGCTATGACCAAGCGCACTGATGACGGTGTTGTACGAGAACACGTCAGGCTCGACGTCGTCTTCTCTCGCCTGCCGTAGCAGCCGCACGGCGGTCTCTGCATCTTTTAGCTTATCGCAGGCGGAGATGGCCGTGTTGTACGACACCTAGAGCGGAACACAGCATAGAGTCAAATCACCGAAACGAAGACAGGAGGTACATAGGTGGGCTAGAGTACTACAACGGGAAGATGGTCGCGGCTTCCATGCTTTGGGGGTCACCGCAACCACAGTGATGATGTTACAGGGGTATGCTCAAAAACGCGGAGGGGGGTTCGTGTGGATCGCCCTCTCAGGTGCGCATACTTACTACAGGACGGTTGCCTTGGTGGTCTAGCCGACAACCTCGAAAACATCACGGCTACAGTGCTACTTTGGGAGTTCGAGGTTCGGCGAGGCGTCTTTACTCAGCACAGGACTCAAAGGGGCACTCGTTCGTGAGCACCCTTGAGGGGAAGAAACTAGTAAAGATTTAGCCTAGTGAAGCCTTAGCATCCGCGATTTAAAAACATGAACACATGCACCGGAGATGATTCAACACGGGTGGGCACGGATTGGTACTCGTAGGTCCTGCGGTAGGAGACAGCAAACCGCATGTGGGCAGAAACTACGAGACGTCGCTATGAGACGTGACTATGACTAACATGCATATAATACCTTGTTCGCGATGACGCTGTTACATGCGAAGCGCACAGTACGTATAGCACCACAAGCACCAACAAGCACGCAGCACAGCAATTCCGTATGAGAATAGGGGTATTTCGACACCATGCGGAACAAAACTTCAAGAGAAAAGAGATCGCTCTCAGGGAAGGCCGGAAAAAAAAAATGTGATGAACCGCCGCGGCCGCAGTCGCAGCAGCGTCAGCGTGAAGATTGCTCTCTCTCTCTCTCTCTCTCTCTCTCTCTCTCTCTCTCTCTTACCACGTCCCTCGGGATATCGTCCCTCTTCATCTCCTCAAAAATTTTCAGAGCAGCGTTGGGCTGCCTAGCTTGCACGTTGACTGCCATGACAGAGTTCATGCAGTACGTGTCCGGTCGCAGCCCGGCCTCCTTCATCATCTGGACAGCCTGCACAGACAAAACACACAAATGAAGACTCAGTCAAAAGGTCGGCTGGACGAAATACAGAACAACTAACTGCGAGGGAATTCCGTCACCCGCTCCGCCCTTCAGTTCTCGCACGCACGTCGAAAAACGGTCGTCGATCAAACCTTATCGCAATGAATTTTCTTTTTCTTTTTTGTGTTGACTTCAAACAGCGCTCACAGCACTAGGAGTACCGTTTACTCAAGCCCGTGGTCACACAGAACGGCCCCTCTCTACCCTCCCCTCCTGCGGTATATTGCCTTCGATTTTTAATGCGAGAAGAGTTCAACACTCTCTTCCCTCTGTGTATACACGAACTAAGTAGCGCTATCCACTAGGCCAGGAGCGGAAGCGAGAGAAATATTCACTTTGCAAGAAAAGCTCGGTTACGCCGGGGTTCGAACCCCTGATCTGACCTCTATCAAGAAGGTTTCGAGGATACCAACTAGAAGAGTACAGGTTAATTCGCGGGGTTAAGTGGGTGGTACGGCAGAATCAACAACGCTGCATGTCAGACGAGTGGGCGAGGTGCTCGTACCGTGCCCCCTTGTCTTTCAAGCGCGCCACGGGAGGTTCCTTTTCGCCCCGCGGGAGGAATGAATTGCAATCCCCGACGGGGCCCCCTATACTAATTCCTACATGAACATGTAAGAACATGATCCAACAAGAGCTCGAACTTAATGTTGAGGGGTAGCTGTGCTTCCGGAATTCGTCTCGGCAGGCCCTCTCCTCTGTGCGTCGTGAACTATTTATGATACAGCAGCCGGCCACAGAATGACAAGGCGACAAAGTGACCAGCCGAGTTGATCGGAGACAGAGGGAAGACGCCCTCATTCCTCATGCTGCCGCCCTGCTGTAGATCATCGCCGCGATCGATCGATAGGCCAGCAACCACCCGCTCCAAACAACGAAATCACAAGTGTCGGCTAGCTATCTTGCCGAGGAAAGCCTTTTTCTTGAGACATGTACTACGTACGCTGCAACGCCGCTACCGCTATAGAACCCTCCCGAAGCCTGCGACTCTGTAGGCGCGGGGGGGGGGGGGGGGATGGAGCGTAGCTCACCTCGATAGCTCGCTCGGGGCTTCCTGCAGAGCCGTCCCTAATGGTAGCGATGATGCTCGCGAACGTCATCTCGTTCGGCCCCACACCCGCCTTCCTCTGCAGCGGGGGGGACACAAGAGAGAACATTCGATCGCATCATCGAACCGGCCGTCGCGTGTGTCCAGAAGGTTACAGCAGTCGAAAAAATCGGAAAAAGCAACGGAGGCATGCGCATGCATCCGGCCGGGGGCACATCGGCCTGTCGGTGCATACGTCTGAAACAATCGACACCTGTTGCGACCGTGTCATGTGGTGCTTCCCGACATATCATCTGGTAGCGCCCCCACTACAATACTGCTGGTAACACTGATGCTGTGAAAAAGAAAGCATCAAGCATCCCCCTGTGTGCAGGAGTGGACGAATCGAAAAGCAAGCTTCCAGATATACAAAATAGTCATGCGATGGATACAGGCGTCAAATTTTCGTGAAAGAACGGTGAACCCCCATTCAATTCGAGGCAGCCACGAGACCCGAGCAAAACCGTTGCAAAGAACACAACAGCAGGGTCACATCGCAGCCTGCCACAAATCCTGCAATTTCCGTTGAACCATCCAGCCGCATTCGACTCGGCTCCTTGTAACACCACCGCCCCGTACGGTTCAGTTCCTTCACACAAGACGGGCGGAAGCAGGATAAGGCAGAGCTACGCCTGGCCTGCCTCTCCCTAATGGGACGCCAAACGATGGCATGTCGGCTCACCATGTCGTCGAAGTACCCTAGCGCGCGTTCGTACCCGCGGCCCGACGCGCAGCCGGAGATGAGGGCATTGTACGCGAAGAGGCTTTTTTGTAGCCCCTCCGTCCGCATAGTCTCGGCAGCTATGTGGTGCTGAACACGAGAACAAAAACACCAACATTCGACGCGGTGATGCACAGCACGGGGTTGGGCGTGGTATACAAAACAACGGTCGACTAACAGATAGACGGGTCTGGGAAGGGGGCGCCAACAACCAGCTAACGGTGTGCGGGGTTGAGAGTAGCCGTGTCTCCTGCAGTACACCGCTTAGGACGGCAACCGCTGCGGACTGAAACATGCTTCATTACAGGGAGCAAACCTTGCCCCACATCAATCGCAAACGTCAGGTCGGCTGGCCCGCGACTGGGAAGTTGTAGCAAGAGCGACCACGCACAACGGCAGCATAAGCTCCTCAGCAGGCACGTACGACTGGCACTCCGGCCGAAAAAAAAATTCGCCGGTGCGAAACCGCTGTCCCTTATCCGCGACACATCCCCGAAGGCTCCGAGCAACCCTACCCGGATTTTCTTGCCCCTCACTTGTTTCGCCTTGGACATGTTGGACAGCACACTCGTGTAAGTCACTTCATTGGGCGGGGTGCCGTTGGAGCGCATGAGCTGCAAGAGCTGGAGCGCCATGACCCACCGCCGGCTTTGCGACGCCGCGTTCACCAGGTTGGTCATGAACCGGACGTCAGGCGTAATACCCACCAATCGGGCCTGCAGCAGCAGCAGCAGCAGCAGCAGCAGCAGCGCGTTAGTCGCAACAGCGCGGGGGGGGTGATGTGTGATCCACGGCGCCCCCGAGTCTTGTCCGGAGACACATTAGAGGGTCATGCCTCGACAACGACTGAAGATACGCGGATACCTGTTCACCACCCCATCTCCAGATGTGGCAACCGATCACACGCTCTAAGACCTGCAACCTCGCAGAGGAGAGCAGACGCCTCTCTGCTTCCGGAACCGCTCTCTGCCGTACGGGTATCCCCTCCCTCATCCCCAGTGAAGCCCGCCGCTGCCGCTCCTCCCTCCCTCCCCACCCACCTGCTCGCACACTTCCACGGTTAGGTGTATGTCGCAGTGCCGACTGCTAGCCATCCCGAGGTTGGTGAACTGCATGACGGTCAGTTCCTCCGGGTTGGAGAGGTAGTGGAGCACGGACTGCTTCACCAACGAAGGGTCCACCTTGCGCGAGTTGAGCTCCCGGAAGCTGGCGACACGGGTGCTCGGTCTCGGTGTCCTCAAGGTGCGCCTCTGAAACCGTCGATCTTCGCTGCCAGCACGACCAATGACTGAAAAAACAACCACGGCGAAAATTCAAGGGGCTTTCGTCACGATACATCGGAGTGTGAGAATAATGCGGCCACACTACTCTCGCAAGACCAGCATGTGGTCTCACGCCAGCCACACCCCAGCGTAGCAGATCTGCTGGAGGAGCCAGATGGCTTCAATGAGTCGGAGTTCCGGGTTCGATTTGTAGTTGCCTTTCCCCCTCTCACGGGACTGTACCACACAGCTCACTCGGTCTACCGCCGTGATCGAACAGGCGAATGAGTCACTATCGCAACGTACAGTACTGCTTCGTTCGTTTTCTGCCTCGTGCATTCGATCTCTTCAAAAGTTAACTTACAACAAGTTACAACAATAGCCTTTGTCACCACGGAAACGTCTTCGCGTCAGTTGGGATCAGTACCGAGCCGAGATCGGGATTACATTTATGTAAAGACAACAACAATAACAACAATCATCCGAGGGGGTACTGCTTCGGGAAATGTCGAAAGCTCTCACCTCCGAGCCGTTTTCGGTTTCCATTCTGGCGTGCCTCGTCCTTCCCTCTCCCCCCCGCCGCCGCCTGCGCTTCAACTCTATCTACCGTGGCCGTTTTGCTTGACGTCCCCCCGTCCTCGCTCGTGCCCTCACTTGGCGAATTGGACTTAATACTGGATTGTTCAGCAAGCATGACGGGCCAGCGGCAGCGGCAGCAGTGCACCAGCAAGACGAGGGTGGAATGGATCATGAGGATTCAGACAGGGTCAGCGAACGGACGCGAAGACTTCGACTTCGCGCAAGAATTTTCGTAACACCGCTTTTTATGGCAGTACAATGTTGCAAGCAAGGAAGGCTGCGAACTTTCCCTGCAGCTTTTCTTCCACACTTTGTCCATGGAACTTTTAATGCGCGCTCCTTGTGGGACGAAGAAGAGTTTTGTGCACGGGACTGGCGGAATGCGGAGGCGTGATCGTTGTTGTTTTTAGCAACGGAGGGAAAGCACGCGCCTTTCATACTGCACCGCGAAATAACCGGCAAAAGCGTGCGGGAGAGTGTAGTTGCAAGCATTTTTCTCCACACTCACGATACCCCAAGGTATCTAACCTGGTACCAGAAAGATGCTGGGTAGAGCTAGCTCCCTCGGGGTCGCATTGCTGTCGCTGTTGCCTTCTCCTCCGAAAAGTCATCGCTGGAAAACCAAACGATGCGCGCACAATCCCTGTGAACTTGAACCAACTGCTCTCTGCCGTGGGTACTTTGGGGTCGATCAAAACTTTTTTCCAGATGCGCACGATACCCCACGGTACCAAACCTTGTGCATGAAAGATGAAGGAGAGAGCTACCTCCCACCGAGCGGCCTTGCTATTGCTGTTGCTTCCTCCTTCGGCAAGTTATCGGTGGATCACCAAACCCGTGTCGGTCGAAAACATCGAGCTTGAACCAACCGCTCGCAGCCATTGTGACGGTTGTACACAGCACAAACTTTTTTTCTCGGCGCATTCGGCACCTCACGGCCCCAAATCTTGGCATTGCCCAACCGTCCGTGGCATCACCTCCTTGCAGATACCATTCATGAGGCAGCTCGTTAAGACATCGGTGATCACAGCCTTTCCACAATCGATGCTAGAGAGGGTCTACGTGTGCGGTAGGGGTAGCAGCTTGAAGTGAACCGGAATAGTTTCCGCCGTGCAGCTTTTCTCGCCCCTTCCCGACTCGAGAAAAGCTGCAAAACTTTTCGGCCAGATTGCAGCTTTTCGCTCCGGAAAAAAGTTCCAGAACTTTTCGTGCAACACTTAGCTTCCATGCTGAGCGTACAATAGCAAAGCTGCAAGAAAAGTTGCAGAAATGCAGCTTTTTTTGCAGCACTGTGCTGCCATAAAAAGCGGTGTAACAACCGTACATTCCGCTGTCAACATTATCATGCTTCCTCCTCGCAACCGTTTCATAATGGCCACCCGCCCAAATGGGGTCGAGTGTGCGAATCCGTGTTCCTAGTACAGCAGTACACAGGCCGTTGTACTGGAGCGCTGATGTTTGGTTTGTGAACAAGTGTAGTTGCGTTCCAGTGCATGAGATTTGAGGCATTGATGCGATGTTTGACAACCTATGTGTGCTGTTATCGGCAATTTGTAATGATTGTATTTGGCCAACGTTTAAAAATTTGACGGCAATTTGTTTTTGTACTCGAGAGGGGCTTCGTGGTACCGAGCTCTCCCATAGTTCTCGATAGTTCTCGATAGTTCTCGATTGGGTCATATACAGACAACCTTCATCCAGCGTCTGGATGTCAAAACTAATCACGGGCGGGGTGTGTGTGACATGAAGCTTTACCGTTTCTCCAACCGTGTACAAATAACCGAGGTGTTGTGACCGTTACTTTCACCTGCATGCTCGGAGCACCGCCGGTCGCCGGCCGAGCTAAGTCGTGGCCCATGTGGGGTGCCGCGGCAAGTACTACTGTCTGCAACTGCTGCTATAGTCCGGAGACGGAGAAGAGAAGCGTTGCGATGCACAGACAGCAGTACAGAAAGCAGCCCGATATAGGGGCGCCAACGGGCAGACGACCCTCATGCCACTATTGAGGGCAGTATCACTATTCCGTTATGTTTAGTGGCATCACACCACTGTTGACACCCCAATAGTGGTGCTTTTGCCACTAAGGAGGAGAAAAGGCTTTGATATGAACACTATACCGACAGCTCTTCATTGGAATTCTCACCCTGTATTCGTTGTACTGCACTACCTTCCTGACAAAGGATACCCGCACGAGTTCAAATACGGCCTGGATCACTTTTCTTTCGAAAAGTGCACCTAAGAACTATCAGGGTGTGGCGAAGGGTCCGACCCGGAGATCTCTACTCTTAATCCCAGTGATTTAGCCATAAACCCAAGTGATCCAGGCGGGTGCGAATGAGCTCTGAGCATATTTTTTGTTCGGTAGAGTTACAGTCTAATCACATCCTTCCCCCTCGGCCTGCTCCCCGGCCGGGGCCGAAATCGACCTAGTGAGTCCCTTGCGGGCGAACCACGCCACAAAAGAGAGTAGGCGGATGGTGTCCCAAGGTGCAACTCACCGCCGCGCTGGCTCAGCGTGGCGGTGAGGATGCACAGACGGTGGTAGTGGCGAGAGGTGTGTATGGACACCGTTCCCGCGGCAGTAATGCAAAGCGGCAAACAGCACCTGGCAACCACCGTCGCGGAAAGCGTGGCCTACGAAGCTGGAGGAGTAGAGAGTTTCGTAAACACCACGTCAAAGCACCGCTCGCGGGAGAAGGGAGACAACCGCGGGCACCGCGGGGAGGGAGTGCTGCACCCTCCTCGTCAAAACACCACAGGCAAGAACCGAGCTCTGCAGAGATGGATTGATGCGAGGAAACTCGCCGCTCGGAAAATACGGAAGAAAGCACACCCGCAACGCGAGATAGACCGAGAGAGACACGAGACCGCAGCGGCCGTCAAGGCGGCTGGGAAGAAGAAGGCACGAGAGGGCGACCTATCGTTCGGCACGTTCAACGTACGCACGCTCGCCTACAGCGGTAGGAACCCCATCGGTCACAACGTGATGACGGTCATGCAGATTTGTTCCGCGACCGGCTGTGATGTGATAGGACTTCAGGAGACCCGACGACAAGGGCAAGGTTCAATTGCACACGACGGGTACGTCATCATCTGGAGTGGCGCCCGTGCTGGCACCAAGGACAAGAGGGGCGTACACGGTGTGGGCATAGCGATCAAGGAGGCCATGTGGGAGAGTGTGGGCGAGGAAGGTAGGACGGTGGAGTGCATTAGCCCGAGGCTGATGAAGGTGCGTCTACAAATTGGCCGCACCTGCGGAGTAACTTTCGTGGTGGGGTACGCCCCCACGGAAACTGTCCGCACCACCGCGGGCGGTG